ATCCAGACAGACCCACTTCTTTTATTGATGCACAGAAAGACACACTGAATTATAAGTATAAACAGATTTGTGAAGTTTACTTGAAGTAGAACAAGAAGGCATCTCAGATATTAGGAGAGGTTCGGGCACTTAGAGGTTTCAGAAGATTCTCAAGCTGTTTCCTTAACAGAATATGGTTCCTTAAATTGTCTTCTGTAGAATAATGTTCACTCATAAGTTATCTAACCAGGCTTTTCAAGACCCCTCAGTACTCCCTTCCAGAAGCTCCTAATATAAGCACTGTGTCCAGCCCCGTAGCCAGGATTTCGTTTCGGGGGGGGGGGGGGGGGGGGTTGAATTTTTTTCAGGGGGGGTTCAGGGGGGGCTGAGTTTTTTGGGGGGGGGCTGAGTCTGAGTGAAAGAGGGTCTAGCCTAGCAAACCTTTTGTATCATTACCCCAATACCCCCATGCATATGGGATATATTGAGTATGGTGATCAGATCATGATATGAATAAACATAACAGTTTAAGTAATGCACCAGTAAGGCCTTTTCGTGAACCACCATGAGAATTTCAGGGGGGGGGGGGCTGAAGCCCCCCGAGCCCCCCCCCCAGCTACATGCCTGACTGTGTCCCTTAGTGGCACTCTAAAAAAATTGTAGCACTTCTCCCCAAAGGCTATTTTTAATTTCCCCACTCCCCCACAAAGGCTTTCCCTCTGACCTCCAGGAAATGCCAGGAATGGAACTTGGGGCCATTTGCATGCAAAGTGAGTTTGCTTCCACTAAATTGTGGAGGTAGTTTAATGTACCACAAACACATTCAGGGTAGAATAAAATAAAAGAGGAAGATAGACAGCAAATTGATATACATGGGAAGAGACTTCAGGGAAGCATACACCATCTGGATCTGCTTTTGATTTCCACAACTGTCACAGGACTGGGGAAAGTTCCTTTTTTGCATGAAACATCCTCACAGTGTGGCCACCAGCCCCCAAAGCAATGTTTCCAAGCTCTTCTGAATGGTGGACGTTCAGGTCCAGACATCTGTAGGCAAACGTCTGTGAGACCTCTTTCAAAATAAAATAAATTGGGTGTTCGAAAAAAATCTCTTCTCTTCTCATCCTCAGACATGTCCCAGTCCCCCAGATTGCAACTCTCACTGGCTCCCTCTACCTTCTGTAGCTAGGCAACACTCTCTAACTCCCCCACCAATCATGCATCACTACCTTCTTTAGCTTGGATTGGGCCTTTTCTCCCAGGGCCTAGAATTTTTCCTACACACTAGCCTGGCAAGGTAGGCCCATTCCATTACAGAGGTCATCTCCGCTAAGGACTGCTTCCAGTCTTCCACAACATACTGAATCTGGGCTTACTACTGTGGGAGATGTGAAAGCAAGTGTGACCCATACAATGTTTTTTGGATTGTATCTCCTGCAATCCTTTACAACTGTTTAAACTGGTAGGTCTGGAGCTAAAATCTGAATAGTTTTGGAACATAATTATGATGTTAACTTCTACAGAAGGCTTATTTGAGGAAATAAAGGAAACTGTCATCCTCTAAGACCTGTGTTTTTAAAATCCCCCTTCTAAGTGTCCACTTTTCTATGATTCCATCTGTCCTTATGGATTCAGTCCCAGAGAAAGTGCAAAATCGGAAGGGCTTTACAAAGCAGCTGAGAATTTTAGCCATCCACAAGATGACGTCTGGCTATCCTTCTGTTAGCAAGACAGTGTGTGTGTGAGAGATGGAGGATTACATAATCCTGATGCCCAAAGAAAGCAGCAGATTCACAGGAAAATGCTTCGAACGCTGAGCATTGTTGCATGAAAGACTTTGAGGAGGTCAAGGGAGGTCGTGTTGCTTTCTTTCGGAGCACATGGGCCCAGTTGTTTGCAGGCACAACTCACAACCTTTCTGGTGGCTGAGCTTTAAAACCAAGGAGTAATAATATGGGGAGGCCTGATTAGCACAGGGAGGTGGCGCTGAATAAGAAAACCGTTCTCTCATGAAACAGCTCCAGTCAATTCACCCTCAGGGGGTTGATGTTGGTGGTTACTGATGGAAAATTACAATGCAGAGACAAACCAGCCAAGCAGAACTTGCAAAATTGCTTACAGGTGGCTACTTTTATATCCCCAATAAACAGCAGGGATTAGCATTTAAACCCACAGCAGCATGCAAAAACTCCCATCTTCTGCAGTGCGGGCTGCTAGGCTCCCTGATGTCATCCTGAGTTACAGCTCTAAATAATGTGGCAAGGAGGGCTCTGGATTTCTCATAGGTTTGGAAAGGACTCTGGGGTATTTATTTATTTATTTAAAACTATTTATTTATTTAAAACTTTTGTATCCCCATCTTCTCACCTTCATGGAGGTAAAAGCCCCCGGACAAGGAGGATGCATTTGTGCCCATATCTCATCTCTTTAGATTCCATCACCTGCCTCAGGTGGCAGAGACTGTGAGCTGGCAGTAGGCCCCTGATAATTCCCCTTTATTGAGGAATGCATTTCTGTTGGCCACACAAACCTGCCCTATGCACTTTGAACCAGTTTGCTATGCTCAGTCCTTGTAGAAGAAATTGGTCAGGTACCAGTATAGAGGTAAAATTCAACTACCAGTCCATACAGTGTCCTTTACATCAGGCTACAAAGCATTCATGCCTTGCTCTGCCCCTGTTGTACTGCAGGAGGCTTTCAGAGCCCATGCTTTTGGGAAAATGGCATTCATGACCTATTTGAAAAAGAAAAATGATGCCATATCCTTTTGGAAAATGTGAATATCCATGAACATCTGGAGACTATCTTATGAAAGCCACTAGTCAAGGAAAGGCATGACCGTGTTAGAAGTCAGCCCTTTGAAAAAGTGATATCCAAAGCATTCAAGTAATGGCACACAGGTAACTCACCTGTTAAACTGATAAACCATGTTTTTGAACTGCCTGGTACAAAGACATGCCATTGCACAAAAAACATATACTTAGCTAGCAGAATTTTGAAAATGTTTCTTTGAAGTAGAAGTTGCAGTTGCCCAAAACATATATTCTCCTTTGAAACCTCTTAGTTTAAAATATGCACCCAGAGACAAAAACAAAACAAAAACAAAGTCTTCTTTAAAAAAACATATCTTGTTTACTCATAAACATATTGTATTAATTTAACATACAGGTACATTTATAGATAGGATGTTGTTAACTCTATGTTGAGAACGCAGGGCATCATTGTTAATCAATTGTCCAAATTTTTTAAGTATATATCTTATGAAAGTCCAAATTGTATAATCGTACTCACTGCTTTTCAAAGAAAGCATATAGTAAACTGTTCTTGTATAAGTGCAAAATGCAAACTGCACCTCCACTGGGGTCTAAAACGAACTGCTAACATTGAAGTCCAAAAGAACACCTGCATTCAATGAAGTCCAAAAGCATACTTATAACAAAATGGAGTCTTGAGTCTGAACATGCTCAGTACAATCACATGTCTGTAGCCCCTCCCACACCAAAGAGATGCAGTCAAACTGGCAAATCAATATATACATGCAATACTGGTTAGCAAATATATACAAACAAATAGTGAAGGCTTGGAAGGTTGCTGTTTCCAACAATGCTGAGCAGTAAATTCTGGGAGTTTAGTTGAAAAAGTACATTTTCTAAGTTGGAGTGAAAGAGACAAAAATCACACCATATTCTTGCTGTTGTTGTGCTCTGAAATTATAATTCCACCTTTTCCCTAAAACTGGGACTCAAGGTGGATTGCAGTTTGAACAAGTGCGGTATAACCAAAACATACAAAAGATCAACACAATACACGCAGATGCACATTGCTGGTATACGTCTCAGTATGCCTATCACAGAGGTTGGAGCTTGTAACCTACCACCCAGACTTTAATCTTAACAGATGATAGAGGAGCCTTAACATTATGTGTAAATGAATTTGAGTGCATCCATGCCTTTCTCTTTTGTCTTCCCCTTTCCATTTTGAAGCCATGATATCAAGTAAAAGTTTCACAAAAAGAGGACCTCAGTGGCAGATGGTAGCTTCCACATTTGCAGAGCGCTGAGTGGAGTGGTTTAGTGTTTAATGGTTGCTGTCCATGGTGCTGAACTCCACAAATGCATAGATTAATGTAGAAGGAATCATGGGTGGATAAAGGAGGAGGGCACTTTGGAAATGCCACAGTGCATGTGATAAAACTGCACCAGGATTTCTTTCCTTTTATACTGGTGCCATGTCATGGAACTAAATATTCTTTTTATCATTCAAAGCAAAAATAAAAATCCACAGAGAGTCAATAACTTCATTAAGACCTGCTGAAATTATTCTAGATTGTGCATGCTTTTGGATTCTTTTGAATTATTCACTAGGTTTGATGTTCTGAAAAAGTAGGGAGGGAAAAGAAACATGGAAGTTTACAAATGGTCCCAAGTTATGTGTGTTTCATAACTCTTGCTGTAGATCGAGTGCAATCCAATCCTGTCATAGGTAGATCTGTTGGGTCCCAGAACAAAGAAGTGCTTTCTTCAGCTTTGATACAGAGGCTTTCTTTCTAGGATCCTGTTTTAATTGGTTACCCCCCATCCACCCACTACTGTCCTAAGGCTTTAGACAGAGTTTTGCTTGGCCATGCCTGACTTGGAGGTAACTGAGGCCCCTTCCATACAGCTGTATAAAATCCACATTGAACTGGATTATATGGTAGTGTGTAGTCAGATAATTTAGTTCAAAGCAGAGGAAAATCCGCGTATGCAACTACTTCTTCTCATGTATGTCAGAGTTAATACAACTATATGAAGGTTGTGTTCTGTAGACTGTTCAGTTCAACTTTCAGTTTTAGACTGATACTGATAACTTGATACAGTGGAAAGGTTTTATATGTATAATCCAGGATTTGCTTTGATCTCTTTGCTTTGGTACAACCAGTGGGGTTCTGTGGTTCAGAATGAATGTGGGTGTGGATTTAATCCTTTGCTTACCACTGAGTGAACCACACTCTTACCTGCTGCTATCTCACTCTCTTTCAGGAATGAGACTGTTTTGCACCAATTCTGCTGCCCTGCAGCTGATGCTGAGCAGAAGCCTTCATCTGCAGACTCTTCTCCAAGGTTCGTTAATTCATGCCATGCTTGGTTTTTTTTCTGTCACTTTTGCATTCTCTACTTTGACTTGCACACACAAAACACTCCAAACCCCCATTCCACTCACAATCTAACAGAAAAAGGGGTCTGGGTGGCAGGAGAGAGATGCAACTGAACCAAACCTTTCTTCCCAGCATTCTTTTTCACGTGCTTCCATTCACCCTCCTGGGATCTGCCTTCCTGGGATCCAAATCCAACCTGCTATTCCTCAGATTGGCACTCTCCTTCCCTTTGATACCCTTATTTTCCTAGTTTTTGGACATTTTCTCTATTTTGGATGGAGAAATTTCCTCTTAATGTTTAGTTACAAGAGTTATTAGCAGTAAAGAGGTTTTGCTAAAATATGATGGCATTTTTTGGTCTTGTTCTTTTGCCTGCACTCATCAATGAAAGGCAGCCCCTGATAAGTTTTTGGAAACTAATTTTAGCCTTGGCTTTTAAAAACAGTCTCCCATCCTTAGAGTAGAGGAGGGCTGGGCAACTGCAACAGATCCAGGAACCCAACTTTCTGCCCTTGGCACCGCTGACTGCCCCAGATGCCAAAACAAAAACAAAATTTGACACACATCTCCAGTTTCTTCTGTATATTGCAACAACAAAAGCAGCAGAGAATTCAAAGACAGTTTTCAAAAATGGGTTGTTTCAGAGTTATCTGCAGAAAAAAAACCTAGATACATATCAAGCTCAAAATACACTTGTTTTGTTAATAAAAATGCCCAATGTTTTTCAGCATTTGTTCACTTGTCCAATAAAAACACTTTTTCATTTGTCCCCTTAATGACTTGAGAGTGCCTAGCTTATACATTTCTGAACTTTGTTTCTAAATAGCCCCTGAAGAAGGCCAGTTATAGACTATTCAGTACACACAGTTATAGACTATTCAGTATTGTTGTATTTATTCTCTTTGTTGTATTTACTCTCCTTTACTCACCTGTTATAATTTCCCAATACTTATTATGCAGACAATGACACGGGGAGAGTAAGTATTATTACTCTGTTTCTACCTGTATTATGGACTGGTTTAATGCTAATGTTAATGTGGAACATAAACACATCAACTACAAGGATCACATGACTAGATGATGCCATCTATGAAAAATCCAAATCTCATGGCTTAGTGAAATTACCCATTGCCAAGCTTTGCACTTCTTAGGGTGCTTCACTACTGAACTATCCATCACAATCCTAGGCTCAATCTGCAGAAATTCTCAAAATTGCCTTTGGCTTTGCTGTGTGGATGCTGCCACCATTTGTCGGAGAGGGAATCAATGAGTCCAGCAGGTCCAGGGGCTGGGTGTAAAACACAGTTTGTTCAGTTATGGTTACAGGCAGATCACAGAGAAAGTCCTAGGAAAAGGCAAGCCTAGGACTGGATAGAGTGTGACAAGGAATACTAGCAAGCTGAGTCTTTTTGATATCATAGCAAGAGTGACCATGCAGAGTTTTTTTTCTCTTTCAGCATCAAACTATTTGACTATGGCTCATTGTTTAGTCCATTTTATGAATATAGTTAATAATCTAACAATTATTATTTATTCAAGAATTTCCATCAAAAGATTCCCAGGGCAGCATACATGAAAATCAATGTAAACAAATTAAAACAATTTAAAACATTAACAAAAATATAAATTAATTTAAAACAAGTTATATATGATTAACAAGTCAAAATGGGTTTAAAATATTAAAAGCAGTTTAAGACAATGCGTATTAGTAGTTTGAAATCAATCAGCAAGACACAAAGGCTTTAATAAAAAGCCATGCTTTTCCTTCGCTCTTCAGTGAAACCAGTGTTGGACCACCCAAGAGGGGGCACTCCACAATTGGCTGAGAAGGTCCTCTCACATGCCCTCAGTATATTGACCTCACTGGTAGGATACAGGAGAGAACCTGTCCTCAGCAGTCCTCAGTACATGCTCAGGCACATAAAGGGAAAGGAACTCTCAAGTATCAAGGTCCTTGCATTCAGCTTGGAAGCATATTGGCAGACAAGGAAATTTATTTTTTTGGATTAAACCTAGAGCAGAACAAAAACTAAAACCCTGAGAGCCTAGATTAGGATGTCTTGCGAATTTAACACTAAAGGTTCAACCTCTCTAGGTAACTCAAAAATAAAGATATGGAAAGTGTGCCCCGTGATCCAAGATCCCAGTTTTGTGGTCCCTAAAGCTACCTTTCAGTCCCCCAAAGCTCCCCCAACACCTCTAAATTACCCCCCAAGTGCAATCAAAGTCCTTAGACTGAAAGTATGGAGAAAATACCCTCCTGATAACAAACCTGCAATCCCCAAATTACCTTCTTTTATCCAAATTCTGCCCAAAATGGTAACTGGGAGTAAAGGTTATTTATGCCACCAATATCTTCTGCTAAAAAGATTTTTGTGTGTGTCAGGAGGGACTTGAGAAACTGCAAGTCACTTCTGGTGTGGGAGAATTGGGCATCTGCAAGAATGTTGCCCATGGGATGCCTGGATGTTTGATGTTTTACCATCCTTGTGGGAAGCTTCTCTCATGTCCCTGCATGGGGAACTGGAACTGACAGTGGGAGCTGAACCCACTCTCCTCAGATTTGAACCGCTGACCTATGGTCTGCAGTTCTGCTGGCACAAGGCTTTAACCCATTTCGCCACTGGGAGCTCCTATTTCTGAAGGTCCCTGCAATGTTATATTTCTGAGAGAGAAGCAAGGGTATTTTTCACACTAATATGCTCTTTGAAAGCTTTTTTTTCTACATTGATTTTGATAAACTGGGAGTGATTCAGTTCTAATTCTAATCACAATTTTGGGTGGGATATGAACACAAAATAAGTTACAGCTCACAGAGGATTGGGCAAAATGGACTCTGGGCCACATTCATTTTCCCACCTTGTATTGTGGGAAAAGGTGAGCCCTCACAGGTTGACAGATAACTGGACTTGAAAGCAATAAAAAGATTGTGCAGGGAATTGAATAATTATAGGACCAGAAAAGACTAATTTTTTTTTGGTCTACAGCATTCAGAATCCCCATCACTCTAACAATAGAGCATCTTGGCTGAAGGATTCTGGGAGTTCTAGTCCAAAAAAATAAACTTCATATACTATGGTCCATTGCACTTCCTATTAGCCAATCATATGTTTTCTTGCTAGTGGAATCCCAGAAGTTGCAGGATGGGGTGGGAAAGAATAAAAAAATTATTTAACCATTGAATCAGTACTATATTATTCAGAGCTTTTTGGAGGAACCCATGACAAAATTGGTATAAAATGGATATATTTGTAGTATGTTGAAGGCAGTGGTTTAATTAAGTGAGGTGTTCTATATAGGCAGGTTTTCTAGTTTCTCTCCCTCCCCACTTCTCTGCAAGATTTTCTGCATAATTGGAAGTCAACACAAAGCATTTTTTTCATAATGTACATAAGACATAGTATTATGTTAATCTCATAGATAGTATGATAACAAATGACTTGAAGTCCACAAAAGCTACCCCCACATCTCTAGTTGCACAACTAGGAGAGCAGGGGATGGGGAAGATTTTGTGGACTTCACCTCCCTTCATCAGATGCCCTTATCACAAGCAAAATTGGTTGGTCTTTAATGTGCCCCAAGATTTGTTGATGTTTGTATTAAACTCAGGACACAGCAATTTACAAGCATACAAGTTCTTGATGCTTCCACAAGACCCTATTCCCATATGAAAAAGAATGACATGCCAAGTTCCCCTAGAGCAATGTTTCTCAACCTTTCTAATGCTGCAAACCCTTAATACAATTCCTCATGTTGTGGTGACTCCCAACCATAGAAATATTTTTGTTGCTACTTCATAACTGTAATTTGGCTACTGTTAGGAATCGTAACGTAAATATCTGATATGCAGGATGTATTTTCATTCACTAGATCAAATTTGGCACGAACACCCGATACACCCAAATTTCAATACCAGTGGGGTTGGTGGGGATTGATTTTGTCATTTGGGAGGTGTAGTTGCTGGGATTTATAGTTCACCCACAATCAAAGTGCATTCTGAACTCCACCAACAATGGAATTGAAACAAACTTGGCACACAGAATTCCTATGAGCAACGGAAAATACTGGAAGGGTTTGGCGGACATTGACCTTGAGTTTTGGAGTTGTAGTTCACCTACATCCAGAGAGCACTGTGGACTCAAACAGTGATGGATCTGGACCAAACTTGGCAATATGCCCAAATGTGAACACTGGTGGAGTTTTGGGAAATAGACCTTGACATTTGGGAGTTGTAGTTGCTGAGATTTATAGTTCACCTACAATCAAAGAGCATTCTGAACCCCATTAATGATGGAATTGGGCCAAATTTCCCACACAAAACCCCAATGACGAACAGAAAATATGGTGTTTCTGATGGTCTCTGAAAACCCCTCTGACCCCCCCTTGTGACCCCCCCCCCAGTTGTCCCAACCCCCAGGTTTAGAAATGCTGTTCTAGAGACTGGGCCCTTCTCAGACTTTTTAAGGCAACTGTACATCTGGCAAAAAGCTTTATCTTGGACTATGACTACCGAAATACTACCAAGTAATCTGAGAGATTCTGAGGTTGTTAAAAATATGTTTCTAATTTCCCCAATGGAGCATTTCCCAACTGGCGTAAAACTGGCAGGGTTCAAAGCATCAGTTTTCCACATTTTCCCAAACATTACTCCAAGAATCTTGTAAACAGAGATGATTATCCCTCATCTCTTTGTGTTGCTCCAGTTTCCTTCAGCAATGCCAATCTCCCAGGGATGAAATGCAAGGAAACAGAAGATGGGTGAGCCCTTGAGGACGCAACGACAAGTGATCTTGTAATTGCTACACTTTCTCTTGGGGCTGAATGCTGCGGTAGCCAAGTTGGATTTGTTTTAAAGTTGTGGAAATGAAAGAAAATTAATTATAAGATATCTTATAAGTGGCAAACACCCTCCTCCCCTACTTTGTATTGAGGAACTCTCACTAGGGGTCTAGAGGAGTTGTTATA